CATAGATCTCCCATTCAGGACCCATTCTAGTTTGATATATTTTTTAATTTATTATTATTATTATTGTTGTTGATGATGACAATGACAACAACTCAAGGCTTAAGTGCTAATCAAGGTAGAGGGTTACTAGGGAGGAGTAAGTTGAATATATAGGATATGTAATGGTTTATACTAAAACTTGAAGAGGTTAAGATTGTACTGATCAAGTATGCATCCCTTCTGGAGTTTGTTCCATATTGCAACAATTCTGGGGAAGCTGAGCAGATTTTACTCCTTACCAATGGAATATAAAGGATTGAGGATGAGTTGGATGGCATATCCTAGTTATAAAGGTCTGGATTGGTGGAACCCTGATAGTTTTGGTGAGGGCCCTAGGTACAAAAATAGCAACATACTTGTGATACTTTTAAAAAACTATAGCAGAACTGAAATGCAAAATGAGCTGCCTAGTACCATTGATAAGAGTGCCTGCCTCCATTGGTCAAAGAGACATTTAATGTGCTCTCTGTAAAACAAAGAAAATGGCTGCCTACCCAGAACAGAGTTGGTGCAAACCAAGAGACAACTTGGTATGAAGAAATATGATGTGCACCAGCTCTCTCAAAAAATAATCAGAATGGTAAGCTGAGTGGTGTTAGTTATACAAATTATTTGTTTTGCTAACTAACCACTAATGTTTTGGACTCAATTAAAAATCACTACACAATTATAATCATATTTCAACAACACAAACGTGTCTCCTTGGGCATGTCAAACTACTGGCGAGCAAAAGTTTACTTTAATTTCAAAATCAGAATACTTTAAAAAAATAAGCTTGTTGCCTTTGCCATGATTAATCAATCGAATGTGACCTATGCTAAATTCAAACCCACCAGAAAAGAATTTTTACTATCGGTCATGACATGAAGTTGTCTGCATATAAATCTTAAACAATTTCCTTATGGACAGATAAAAGTTGTTACATTATTTAATAAGATTTATTGAATTCTGATGTTCAACTTTCCAAATAAGTAAAAGCTAAAAAGGGTAATGCGGTAATTTAACACAATACTAACCAGTTATATGTTCGTTCAGCTTCTTACATAAAATTTTATAGTTGATAAATAAAAGACCCCTTTAATGAGATTTTTAACAAAAAATCTGATAATTCCTAATTTTTCATGTAAGCAGAAAAAACGGTTCATTTAAAACATCCACATGTTCTAACTTTTTTTTTAATTTTCCATTTTACCTTAGGAGTTTTATTAGCTTCTTTTAATTTCAGAAAATATTTAGAAAGAGATGTACTATTTTTATAAGTACTATTGGTGAAGGATGTGTTGATACCACCTTGTCTTAAAAGAATTCTTAGTACTATCAATATAAAATTTTTCAACATTTAATTCTTGCAATTACATTGGTTAATATTATCAACAGTAGTTATCTTATCTTTGAATGTGCATTATTATCCAAATTTTTAAATTGGTTTAAAAATTTATAATGTTTCTTTATAATCTTCTCAACATTATCAGTACAGCTATAACTTAGTTTTAGTGTGTTTCTATTAAATATTTTACTAAGAGGGTTACTTTTAGGAAAATGTTTATCAATTAAATGGAGGAATGTCTGGCCTAACTTAGTACTGACTAATTGATTAAATAGGAGTGTGTACCAAATGATTTTCCTATTCCTATTCCTTAGATTAATATTATCATATTAATATTATCATATTTCCTATACTTGATTTCAGCATACTTGTAAACATTATTTTTTAAAGCAGTATTATAATCACCACTGTATTTATCAAACACATTTTTATTAGATGAGTTCTTGCTAATTCTACATTTTATAGATAAGGGTATATGTTTGATTACAGATGGAAGGTGATTAGAATTGGGTTGAATATATATTAGGTTAGCATTATTTTTCATATAAGGTTGGAATACATCATTAACAACATCTAACGTAACATCAAGAAAATCAACTCGTTTAACATTAGCAGCTACCTTAACTTTAAGATTTAAGCTTTTTAATTCCCTATGAATCATTTTCCTTAATTTGTCAACCTTAATTTTAGTAGAATTTGTTACTACCATAAGACCATCATTTCTGTGTAATGCTATATTATCAACATTAGCTCTACTCTGTATTGAGCCCTCTTAAATTAAATGTTATATACAGTGAAATTATACCCTATTTGTTCTCATTTTACCTATATATATATATATATATATATATATATATATATGTGTGTGTATCTATAAAATAATTCAGATAAAAATATATCTGTAAAAAGACAAAACTTTTCTTTACTGATGTGTTTTGTCCTCTGATGGATTTATTGAGGCAAATGTAAGGATTGAGTGTTCTTTTAAAATTTTGAAAAGCTAACATTTTTATTTCTGTTTATAAATACTTGTTGGAAAATAAAATCTTTACAGTTGCCTAAATAAAGTCCATCAGAGGACAAAACACATCAGTAAAAACGTTTTCCTTTTGTCTTTATTCACATATATATAAGTTTCATTAAAGATGACTGACAAGGTACTTCAATTAAGCTTTTTATTTTTCTTTTGATCATATAAGTGGTTTCTTTTCTGGACACAAAATATGTAAAAACTGTCCAAATGTTCTGCATATCCGAGAGCTTTCAGCTATTCTTTTAGTGATTATCAAGTGCGATTTTATTTTTAATTGAATGTATGGGTTTTTATGTATGTGTCTAGAGATATAGGAATGTACTGGGTTACAAACACAGTCAGTACATTGTGGACGTGTTCATAGTTGATGTTATTGAGTGCTGGCTTTTTCTTTTTAAATATTAGTGCTTCCATTATTTTCAGTCTTTTTTACATGTGGATGAGGCTATTATACTTGTATTTTCTACATATATGTTACAGAAAGAGGGACTGCTGCCGTAATACACAATATATATACATACCATTGTTCCTTACTATTTTAGATGCAGTTTTTTCTCTCATAACTTCTTTAAAAAATCCCTGTGACTTATGTCTCAATTGCTGAATTACCAGTATGAAACTAATAGCTACTCTCTGGCATATTTCAACCTCAGGTTATTCTTATTTTACCCCACCACCACCAACAACAACTAACTAATATTCCCAAATAGTTCCTATCTGGACAATGCCAAAAAGTGTCTTCTGAAATATCCTTCAGTCTTTACATGTCTGTTGATTAAAATATAAATGACTTTGTATTTCAATTGGAATCTTAATGTTTATACAGCTTTCTTATTCTCAATGAGATGACTCTGCACTGCAATTGAATATTGATCACAACGTAAACCCTTTTGATTTTTTCATGTGTGAATAACAATAGCTATTCAAAATAGAGATGAGAGTCACCCAGCCTCTACTTATTATATTTTAGTATTTCTTCCAGCCTCCCCTTCTATTCATCCCCATAACACAGGCATATAGACATGAGAATCATTGTCATTGGTGGAACTTGTTACCAAGTATTGGAGTGCTCATCGACATTTCCTTCCGTGTGAAATGAGTCCTATATTGGATTTGAAGAGGCGTCCACAGTCACCACATGGTAGGCTAGGAGGGTTTTGTATACTGTGTGGGTAGCCTTGATTCGATTATCAACATCTTTTTTTAGCATATGCATCTGATATTAGTACACTACCAAGGTGTGGAAATTGTTCGATATTCTCCAGGTTCAGTACGTTGATGGTGATTTTGACTCCAGGTGGGTGTTGATATCTTTGTCATGGTTCAAGCAGGACCTTGGTCTTTGCCACATTGATGGTTAGTCCATAGCACATGTATGCTCTGAAGAAGTTGTCTATTGAGTTCTGAATATCTTTGAGCTCATGGGCCGGGGTACATTTGTCATCAGTGTATTGAAGAATAAATATTTCTCAGAATACAGCCAATTAAAAACATGGGTGGTGTTTCACCCCAAATATTTTAGTATGGGTGTACGAAAATGCCAAATTTGTGTGGTGATACTATGAAACTTCTTTCAAAGTATTACAGTATACATAATGTCTAGGCTTTTGGAACTGACCCCTGACCTCCGCCAGATGCAGTATTCATATATGCATTATACTAAGCATTCACCAAATCCCTCTGTATATTAACCAATGCAAAAAGAAGTATTTAGGAAGATTAGCTAAGTCTGACTAGTCAAGGGTACCTAATGAGGATTAAACTCACAACATAGTTATAATCTGTCAGACAAAATCACAAACTATTACTCTGTTGCAAGATTCCCTTGTTACTATTTACTAAGTTCATCTTAGTCTGACATAAGGCCACAATAGAGGCATCTACTAAGAATTAAACTATTATTTACAAGCCTAAAGGACACTTGTACTTAACACCAGAAAGAGAGTTGAAATTTCTCAAGCACATAATGAGGAAAGAGGACTTGGAAAATTTGACACTCACAGGACATATTGAAGGCAAGAGGAAAAATATTGCATAACTTACCTAGAAAGCTTGTGTAAATGGATGGCAGAACAGGGTTTAGGAGAGATAGCAAAAAGACAAAATTTACTAAGAGTTACAAAGGACAGGAAATTGTGGAGAGCCATGCTCGCCAGCATCCTGAAGGGGCATGGCACATAGAAGAAGAAGAAGGGGGAGGACAATCTTTCTTATCACGATGCTATAATAGGTGCCCTCATGCTTAATATATGCAAGATATCAAACATCTGTTGCCTCTTTTGTACATATTTTTTGAGAAACTACAAAGAGAAAGATATAAGAAAATAATTCTTCCAACACTTTCATTACAAACAAAGGTCTCTCATAAATAAAACTTCTGGTGAGATGTTTTAAGACCACTCCTTTTGCAAGCAAAGTTACTGAGTCACTCCTGATGAAGGCCATAAGAAAAACTAATATATGCAGAAAAACAAAGTGAATAGCACACAACTAAAACAGAGAAAGGAAAAAGGAAATTGCAAGATGATAAGTCTATCTCTTTAAATGCCATCACCCTTAAAGATGTAGGGTGATTATTACTCTTCACAGCTTCCTTCCAACAGCTGTAAAGAAAAGAAAGAATAAGAGAGAGGAAAATAGAAGACATCAATGGAAAGAGAGCAGAAAGGAGAGAGAAAAGTAGACAATAGGAAAAAAGAAAGAATAGGAGAAAGGAAAGTAGAAGAGAACAATGGAAAGAGGATAGAAAGAATAACAGAGAGAATGGGAGATATGAAAATGTAGAAAGACAAGCAAGAGTATGTTAAAATGTGTGATGAGGGAATAGAAAGAGAAGAAATATAAGAAATAATAGGAAAATGTGAGGATAGAAAGAAAGAAGCAAGAATAAATCTGAATTGGAAATTAGAGAAAAGAGAGTAAATAGTGAGATTGATAATAGGAGGTAAATTTAGTAAACCATGTTTGTAGCCCAACATTCTTTACTGGATGATCCTGAAACCTCAGAAAAAGTAATTTTTCCTTTTTATAGAAAGTGGCAGAAAAACTTTAGATCCTCTAACGTCCATAAGTTGTTCTAGTGTCTGTCGGAGTTACCTCCTTCTAAATTTTGAAACCGCCACTTAGTGGGGTTATCAAATTACAATATATACTTGGTGAGATCTTCGTCTCATTCTCTTTCTTCTCACTTTTCAGCTGATACAACATGATGTAAATCTCTTGTGAAGATTTGCATTCTCTCCTTTGTGGTGGTGGTGGGGAGCGCTATGTGTTTCCTTCAGGAAACACACATGAACATTATGCCTACATGTATGTACAAACATTCACTACACATACTTTGACCATAAACTTTCTATGTTCATTCATACACACTCATTATCCTCTTTGTCAATTGTAACCCTTATTGTATGTTAATACACATATACCTGTTTGTATATATATATATATATATATATATATATATATATATATATATATATATATATATATATACACATATATATATATATATATTAATACACATATACCTGTTTGTGTGTATATATATATATATATATATATATATATATACATATATATATATATAATACATATATACCTGTTTGTGTGTATATATATATATACACACACACACACACACACACCAGTCTTTGTTGTTTTCTTCACATTTCCTCTTACATTTCTCGTGGTGGACTCCTCATGAGCCCACCATATTTGTAGTGGGCCCCATTTTAGGAAACCACACATGTTCATCTCACAATGCTCAAACACTACCAGCTCACTACATGTCTTTTTAGAATTTAAAAAAAAAAATATTAACTATGCTCTTTTAACTTTCAGATGACTATTATGGAAATTGCTAATGCTAAAGGACATACTGTAAAAAATGAGGGTGGGGAGTAGCTTAGTATACCAACAGGTGATGCATGCAAGTGTGGACACAGACAGACATTTCTAGACAGGGGCTGCAGTTATACAATTGTAGCCATGTACACTTTGTCAATGCTGGGTACTTTAGCTATTAAAAAAAAATTCCCAGCAGCCCTCATTTATATGGATGTGCAAATTTAGTCCGATGAAATCCTAAAGGATGAAATGCATAACAGGAATACATTTTTCACTTTGTCATACACTTTTTTCCCTGCTAATAAGGGAATGTATAAAACCTGAATGAAATTTGAACTTAGTCTTCTGATTTCTCATTCCAAGCCACTATCTATTACACCACCTGCACACCCTTTTTAAAGTGTAGATTTTCAATACACAAGTAATGATATTTTTTTTTTCAATTTTTGTTGATTACTTTATTTGAAAAATATGTTATCCTTTGTGGGTTAATTTGTATCAGAAAAATATATTAAAGTTAAAAATATTGCAGGTACAAATGATGCAAGACTCAGAAGAATCAACCATAATGTCACTCACAGAAAAAATTCTCAACCCTTGTTTCAAAAAGCAAGAGTTTGTATACATTCAAGATACCTATGATTGGTCAAAATGAAAATTTGTTTTAAGCTAGCAAACTTTATATGAAGGAAAGCTAGAACCAATGTTCAGGTTTTTTTTTACCTAAGTTTTAGCAACACTACTTTTTTTTTTTAATCATTTCACCCCAAGCAATGCTACTAGAATACAGGGGTTAACAGGGAGTGAAAGCGAATGAGAAGACTTTAGCGATTGATGCTGCATTTAAATTTTCGAAGTTATCAGTGAAGCAAGAAATCAGAAGGGATTTCCACTAGCAAGAAGAGAAACTGTTAGAGTAGAAGTGGTGGTTGTATCTAGCTATTTCAACAGTAAAATGGTGAGACCTAGTTGCCAATCTAGTAGCACATTTAAATTCATCAGAACAGTTGCCATGAAAATATTTGTAGAAAAGACAGAGGGAAGCCATGTCACAAGCTAATATTTTTCTTCTCTACACAATCATCTGCAATTTAATGTTACAAGCCATTGCCAATGAGATTACTATTCACTGGGAGCTGCATTATTGTAGCCTTATACCAGGATAAGCCAAATTCAATAATCAGCCATCTATATAGGGTATTGGCTATCAACTAAGGATTAACATGTTAATCTTGCAAGTGAGTCTAATCCTCACTTAAACTTAATATCTATATTATCTTCTTTTATGCACCATGTTCTTTCAGAATATGGGCGATCATGACTCTCCACAACTTCCTCTCTTCTGTTGCTCTAAATAACATTTGTTCCTTTACTGATCCACTTTGTCCTTGCTTTGCCATCCAACTCAATGTCATTAAGTAGGTTATATACTATTTTCTCTAGCCTCTGTTGCTTTCAGCATATCCTGTGAATGTTAAATTCTCCAAGCCCTCTTTCCTTACTGTGTCCCAGAAAGCTCTCTCTCTGATTGTATGTATTTTCCTTAACACTTGTTATCACACCTGCCATAAAGCTATTGCAAGATATTTCATTTTTTGCTGAGTACATCATTATTAAGTATCTTGTGCCAGATTAGACTAAGTCTCATAAATATCTAGCTATAAAGAGTTGTTTTACAAGCCACTACTAACATGTTTAATTCTCACTTGGAGCTGCATTAGCAAGGCCTTGTGCCTGACTAGGATAAGTTCAGTTAGGAGCTATCCATATAGAGTGTGTACTTGAGGGTAAAATTTAATAAAATTGTTTATAAGCCAGTTGAGTTTGATCCTCACTGGGTGTCCTAGAATTGTGGTTCTGTGCAGACTAGTCAAAGTTTAGAAAATTTTAGACTCTCTCAAATGTCAGCTCTTAAGTGATAATTAACAATCTATTATTACAAGACATTAATATCACTTGGGACTTCTCTCTAGTGGCTTTGTGCCAGGCATAGCAAAGCTTAAGAAATAAACACTTTTTAATAGTACTTTTTACAAGCTACACACAAAATAATGATGCATGAAATCTTTCTCTTTTTTTTTCAAATATCTTACATGTATCTCACTCCAGATGTCATTCATGTCTGACTTCCATAAAATCTGCAATAAACTAAAAGTTAAAACCTATTTGTGTGTAAATAGATATTTACTGGCAGTACAGATTTTAAACATTTGAAGTTACTGATAGGGTTAGGGCTGGACTGATTTGCTTTTTGAATAGGAAAATTGGAACTTGACTCTCCAATTTTCAATTTCAAACCATCATCCTATACACCACTTGCACATCCAAGTTTACAGCACCAGGTATTTCCAAACGGTCATCCATCTATGTACTGACCAGGGTTGATGTTGCTTAACTATGGTGATCATACAAGAACTTGAGTTTCAACATGATACAGCTGTAAGTTTGTTGAGACTGGAAGTAAAATCACTATTTTAAACTACAGGCTTGTTCTTACATAGATCAACATGATACATCAGTGTTCAAGCCTTGGTAAAACCCACAATTTAAATGTTGATTTTGTAGGTAAGCGGGCTCTTTCCATTTGGAAGATTGGTGCAAAACAATCTTCTTCCTCTCTATTTGGAATTATTCAAAACTAAGTTAAGTTTAGTAAATATTAACAGAAGTAGAGGCAAAGATATAGACAGATATATTGAACAGATTAAGATAGAACAATAAATATAAATAGATAGGTAGATAGATAGGAAGAGACTAAGATAAAGAGGCAGATATGAACAGTAGAAGGTAGATGTAAACAGATTGGGATAGATAGATAGATAGATAGATAGATGCAAACACCTTGAGATAGAGATAAATGTAAATGGCTTGAGATAGAACAGATAGACAGATGTTAATGGACATAGATGTAAACAGCTCAAGAGAGATTTGAATCAACCGAGACAGATAGGTATAGCTTGAGATAGAAAAGACAGATGAACAGATACAACAAAATTGGTAGGAGAGAAAAATGTAAAAAAAGTAAGATATATACATATGAACAGACTGGGATAGATGGATAGACAGATATGAACAGAAATAGATAATGAACAGGTATATATAGATGGTTAGACATAAACAGAGATAGGGAGATATGAACAAAACGACATAGATTGGACAGATTTAAACAGACAAAGATAGATAAATAGATAGAAATAAAAGTGAGGATAGAAAGATAAATGAGAATAATTGAGAAGAGAAAAATAAGTTGAGAAATACCAAAAAGTACTCAGTAGATTTACATAAATCTTAATAGGTATTCAAGATGTTTTGTACAAGTTGTGGCTATTTTTGATGCCCTGAACATATATATATATATATATATATATATATAAAGATTTGCTTACTTATAAATGCCTATAAATATAAAATGTGTGAGTGTCAGAGCATACAAGCATGTGTTTATGCACTCAGATGAGTGTGTGTGGCAATGTGTGTGTGCTTGAAAGCAGATGACTCATACCTGTAGCCAACCTCTTCGCCCCACTACTCTTATCCAGACTCCCTTTTTCCAATCAGTAAACAGAAACTGCAACATGAGGAAAGGGGTAGGGGATGATGAGAGTGGGAGGTAAAAGAATGAAGATGAGACTCACAGAGGAGGAGGAGGAGAATGTTGGAATGTAAGGTGCTGGGGAGGGTGAGAGATAATGAAAGCTTGGAAGAGAGAGAAAGAAAGGAAAATGCAGAATGAGAGAGAGAGAGAAAGGTGAGGAGAAGAGATGCAAAGGTAAGAAAGGTGTGGAAATAAAAGATGGCAGGTGCGTTGATTGGGAAAACACAAAGGAAGGAAAACTTTTAAAATAAAGAAGAAGAAGAAAAGGCAAGAAAAGGGAGTGCATGGAGGAGATAAAAAAGAGAAAAAGAAGAGTAATGAAGGAGAAAAAGGGACAACAAAGGTGTAAACAATGTAGAAATGGCTGAGAAAGACAAGCGTAAGAAAGGCAGGAGAAAAGAAAAGAGAGAATGATTTAAAGAAAAAGAAAAGGCAAGAAAAAAATTGAAAATTATCTAGATAAGGTTGCAGAGAGTAAGAAGAGAATGAAAAAGGAGTCAAAGAGGGGAAAGAGAAATAGGTGTGAGACACAAAGAAATAAGAGAGAGTAGTTGCATAAAGAGAAAGAAGAGAGATATAATGGATACAGAGGGAAGAATGCCATGTAGAGGAAGAAACGAAAAAAAAGTGGGATGTCAAGGAAGAAAAGAAAAAGGAGGAGGATGTTGTGGAGGAAAAAAAAGAGGAATAAAGTATAAAGGATGAGAGAAGTGGCATGAAAAGAAAACGAGTGTGATGTAGAGGGAGAAGTGAAATGGGAAGGAAGAAGAGAGCATGGGATGTCAATGAAGAGAAAGTGGAGAGCAAAATAGAGGGTGAGAATAGTGACATGTAAAGAGCAAGGTGCAAAGGAAGCAGGGTGAGGAGTGGAATGTAGAGGAAGAAGAGAGGGGAGTGTGATGATGAGGAAGAAAAGAAAGAGAGGAAGTGAAAGAAGACAGCAACATAAAGGGTGAGATGTAAAGAGAGCAGAGGGTGGAGTGGAATGGAAAGGAAGAAGAGAAAGAGGAGTTGGATATAGAGGGAAAAAAAAGAAACATAAGAAGAACAGTAGTTGGGAATAGAATAAAGAAAGAAAGGAAAGTAGATAGAAAGGCTGAAAGAGTGGGGAGGATTTTCATGGAAGTGAAGACAAGGAAAAAAAAAATGTAGAGAGAAGAAAAGACAACATTCTTTATGTCTGCATTTTTCCCCCCCTTAAAAAGCAACAAATAAAAACTTTAGAAGAAGAAAGTGAGGATGAAAGAGAAGAGTCAAAATTTGGCAAAAGAAATGATTGTAAAAACTTAAACCTAAAACAGAAAAGATAAATATGGAAAGAAAGGAAGTAACATGTGAAAACTTGATAGAACTGTGAAAGAAAAAAGTTTTAAGATATGAATATGGAAGACAAAAGAAAACAATGAAGATCATGAAAAGAGGTGGGAAAGAAAGATGGACACTGATTAAGAAAAACGTCTGCAAGCTGAAGCTATTGATAAAGAATATGCAGAAAGTATAAAAGACTGCAAAATTGGAGCAAGCGATAAAAATATAGATTGAAACATGGAAATCTTGAAAGAACTGTTAAAATGCAAAGAGTTGAAAATGGGAAGGAGGAAAAAAATAACTGAGAAAGAAATTGAAAGATTTTCAGAAACAATTTGACTACAATGCAAAAATTAGCATAAGAGCAATGAAAACAGAGGAAACATGAAGAAGTAAAAAACGTGGGGAAAAGTAGAAAAAAAGGAAAGAAAGGTGAAAGAGAGAATGACTGAGAAGGGAAAAGGTAACATCTAAGAAGAAGAGGAAGGTTTCTCAGTTAAAGGAAAAGAAAAGGAAGAAAAACAAAAGTGAAAAGGCAAGAAGGGAAGAATAAAGTAAAAAAAAAACTAAAGGAGGAAGACGAGGTAAAACAAAATTATATAATTGAAAGAAGAAGAAGAAGAGGCGAGGCAATCAAAACCAGAAAAAGACAGAGAAAAATGAGAAGAATAGGACATGAAATAATAAATAGAGAAATGAAAAACAAGTAAAAAAAAGGGGTTAATGCAAGATAAAAAAACAGAGAGAGATCAGGGCAGGTGAAAAAATCAGAAAGAAAGATAGAAAAAAAGAATAAAAGGCTGAAGAGAAAAGAGAGCAAGAAAAAGAATCAAAGAAATAAAAGAGAAAAAAGATGATATGAGGAACAAGAAAAAATATGGACGATACGGTGAAGAAGAATTGAAAAAGGAAAAGAATAAAATTACTGAAAGAAGATGAAGGAATAAAATGGGAAAGACAAAAAAGAATTAAAGAGAGAGGAGAAAATGAAGTAAGGGAGAGGATGGACTAGAAAGAAAGAGAAAACAAGTGAGAACAAATGAGATGAGGGAATAGAAATAGGTAGAAAGAAAAATGAAAGGAGAATAGGAGTTGCTAGAAGAAGAAAGTGAGAATAAGCAATGAAGGAAGAAAAAGAGAATAAAAGATAAAGGAAGAAAAAAGAATAAGAGATAAAGGAAGAAAAAAGAATAAGAGATAAAGGAAGAAAGAGAGAAAAAGAGATGAAGGAAGAAAGAGAGAAAAAGAGATGAAGGAAGAAAGAGAGAAAAAGAGATGAAGGAAGAAAGAGAGAAAAAGAGATGAAGGAAGAAAGAGAGAAAATAAAAGATGAAGGAAGAAAGAGAGAAAAAGAGATGAAGGAAGAAAGAGTGAACAATGAGAGGGAGAATAGAAGATGATAGCAAAATTACAGAGAGCATAAGACATGAAGGAAGAAGGAATAAGAGATGAAGGGAGAGAGAGAGATAGAATAAGAGATGAAGGAAGAAAGAGAGAATAAGTGATGAAGGAAGAAAGAGAGAGAATAAGAGATGAAGGAAGAAAGAGAAAGACTAAGAGATTAAGGAAGAAGAGAGAATAAGAGATTAAGGAAAAACAAGACAATGAGATGGAGAACAGGAGATGAGAGGAAAATTAGAGAGTGAATAAGAGATGAGAGAAGAAAGAAAGAATAAGCAATGAAGGAAGAAACGGAGAATAAAAGATAAAGGAAAAGAGAGAGCATAAAAAATGAAGAAAAAAGAGAGAGAATAAATGAAGGAAGAAAAAGTGAAAATAAGAGATGAAGGAAGAAAGTGAGTGGATAATGAGAGTAAGTATTGGAAATGAGAGGAAAATTAGAGAGAATAAGAGATAAGAGAAGAGAGAGAAATGAGAGGGAGAATATGTGATGAGAAGAAAATTAGAGAATAAGAGATGAGTGAAGAGAGTAAGAACAATGAGAAGGTGTAAAAGAGATTAGTGGGATTTTAGACAGAATAAAAGATAAGTAAGAGAGAACAATGAGAGGGAGTATAATAGAGGAGATGAAAAAGAGAGACAAAATTAGAGAAAGGAAGAGGAAAAAAGGGGATGAGAGAAAAATTGGAGATGAGTAAAGAAAAAGAGAGAATGAGAACAAGAATAAGAGGGAGAGGAAAATGAGAGGGAGAATAGAAGAAAAAGAGAGATAAAAAGAGAGGGAGAACAGGCAAGTAGAAATAGGAGAAGAATAGGAGAGGAGAAAGAGAGAGGAAGAGAAGAAAGAGGAGGAGAGAGGAAGACAAGAAAAAGAGAGAGGAAGAGAAGGAGAATAGGAGAGAAGAAAAGAGAAAGATGAGAAGAAGAATAGGAAAATGAGAGGGAGAAAAGGTAGAGGAAAATGAGAGGGAGAATAGAAGAAAAGAGAGAGAAAAAATGAGAAGGAGAATAGGAGAGAAGAAAGAGAGATAAAATAAAAAGTAGAATAGGAGAGAAGAGAGAGAGGGAACAATGAGAATATGAATAGAGAACGAGAGGAAAATGAGAAGAAGAATAGGGGATACAGGAATCGAGGGTGTGATTTGGAGATAGAAGAACAGAAGTAGAAACTGAAGATGGGTTTTCTGCTGAAAAAGTATGGATGCTATTGGAGTAAAAGGCGATGATGCAAATTGTTAGAGTTGAAAAGTAGACGGTAGGTAGGCCAACAGGCACGTAGGTAAGTCGTCAGAGGTGTGTGGGTGAAAGAGTATCTGAGTAGGTGTCCGTGTCGCAAAAGCAAAAGAACCTGAAGAAGGATGCATGCATCTTTTGAGTTTGACTGTTGTCACTTTCACCGATTCTGCTGCAGCCGCTTCAGATGATATCAAGGTATGATGAGTCAACACTTGTTCATCCGCCCTCCCTCCGCACCCCGGTGCGTGCGTGCTCGTATGAGCGTGCTTGTTTGCCGCCGCCGCCACCAATTCGCTGCCCACTCGCGGGAGGAGAAGACCGTCGAGGAAAATACAGGAAAAGGCTGAGGCGCAACAAAATGAAGGTAGGTAAGTTTGTAGGTAGGTAGAAAGAAAACGTGTGTGTGTGTGTGGTCGGGTTAGCTGTGAGGGTAGGGGTGTGGAAGTGCGTTCAGAGGCAAGAAAGCGTAGAATGATGAGCCGAGAGGAATAGGAATCGTGGACGAGGTGCATCGAGAATACAAAGGACGTCAAAGCAAAAACAAAAACAAAAAAAAAATGCAGTAAGTAAGGCGATGGATGACAGGTAGCAGGACACTAGAACGGGGCAAAATGTCGGATGTGGGATGCAAAGATGGAATTGGTAAGTAGTAGAGGAAAAAGGAATTATTTGAAGGGGACAGGGTAGACGAAATCGCAGTTACAAGAAATAATATAAAAACGAAAAAACTTAACTTCTTAGCAAAAAAATATTAGGTACCGTATATATTCGAGTACAATACATATTTTTAGGATCAGTTTTTCACGCAAAAAAAGCCATTGGTCGCACTATACTCTAATTAATTTGAAGAGGATAAAAATCATGTATTTTCGGTGACCGGTTGCACAAGTAATTTTTTCTGGATAGGTTAAAAAAATCGTAAAATTCATGCAAAAAAAAAAAAAAAAGTCAGGGTCGCACTACACACAGGCAATTATTCTGAAGAAGTTAAAAAAAAAAACAAAAAAACATACATTTTCGGTTACCAGTTGCATAGATACTTTTTCTGGGTGGGTTAAAAACTTAAAATTCATGCAAGAAAAAAAAAAGCCTGGGGTCGCACTACACATAGGTAATCATTTTGAAGGGGTTAAAAATCATACATTTTCGGTGACCGCTTGCACAGGTACTTTTTTTTCTAGATGGGCGAAAAACTTAAAATTCATGCAAAAAAAAAAAAAAGCCTGGGGTCGCACTACACATAGGTAATTATTTTTAAGAGGTTAAAAATCATGCATTTTTTTTTGGTGACCAGTTGCACAGGTACATTTTTCTAGATGGGTTAAAATTAAAAACATAAAATTCATGATCCCCCCCCCCCAAAAAAAAACAGGAGTCACACTATGGGTAATATACAATAATAATAATTAACAGAAGTAACGAAATAAATAAACAACTGAAAAATAAACGATTAAAATGACGGCAGGAAATGTCTTCCTGGTTTTAACGCCATTCCATCATTGAGTTGTGTTGGTCCGTAGTTGAGGGCGAATGGAAGAAGGGAAAGAAATACCCAATCCATGATAATTTCTGGCAACGGAAATAACTTTAAGAGTTTATGATGGTTCTTTGCAGGTGATTCTTGGAATGAATCGCAGCATTATTAAATGTAACAATATTAAATTGTTAACTAAGTAGTCATCAACGAAGTAAAGTGGGGTGATATTTGATGAGGATTATAAAAGGATTCTAAAGTTAATATTTGGGGAGAGGTATGCTTAAATTAACCGTGGGTCACATAAAATAAATCGATAGAAAATTTCAACAACCTTAAAATAAATTAATTTAACATTTATAATAATTATTCATTTACAAAGCATAAGAATGGCTATCGTTTATCTTGCTAATACAACCTCTCAGAAATAACAAGCAAAAATGAGAACAAGATAACAAAACTAGAATATTAGATTACCAGTTCATTACGGGATTTGACAGTTTGTTGAAGAGGGATATTTTCTTCTGTTGAATGGAGATATATATTTAGAGTGTAGCGTGTTATATGCGACACGTGGTTCGCTTGAGGGCGAAGAAGCCTCCTCGAAAGGGAAACGAGGCATATCCTTTCACAACGGAATTTTGTGCGTAAAGAGAGAGAGAGAGAGGGGAGAGAGTCTTCACCTTTTTCTTTTATAGTGTTTTATAGAACGTCACCTAACGAGGGATAGGAAAAGTCCCCTGGTAAAATAGCAGTAGATAAGTTCACCTATCGTCCGGTTCACACTCTTCCCGGTCTTTCGAACAGGAGTAGAGGTTTATCCCTTGTTTCCTGTTTAGTATTGGGTTTCCGGTTCCTTCCAAAGTCTACTTCAACTCTATACCCCTAACGCTTGTTCTACACTACGCTAATATAAATCCACACAGAAACACCCTACCTTGAGTAGCTCTTGAACCTTACATGGGGTTAACATTATGAAAAAAAAAAAAAAAACAAGGTGGGGAAGTTCCACAAATCACTAATGATATTAAAGCAAAGGAGGAGAAAGAAAAACATTGAATTTTGGAGACGGGGCAATCGATTTGAAATTGAGGGAAATGAAATCTTGGTTTGCTTATATGGCAAATATAACGAACTAAATTTTAAATTATTTTTTTTTTGTTCATCACTGCAGTAGCCAGGTATTGAACTCACAGCTCTTTGGGTCAAGTCACCGGATCCAACCAACGCTTTTATCCACTGTGCCATGTGTCCTTGAACAAAAACTTGGCGATTTCATTTAAAGAAAGAGAACTGAGACATCTGGAAGAGGCATAGCACGTGGAACTAGAACAATCTACCCTGGTGGACGAAATTAAGGGCTCTGTTCGAAATTCCCATCACGTGAAGAAAGCCGGAGCATACGACGGCCGAAAAGTCGTGAATATAACATTAAATATGAGGACAACAGCCCAAATAATGTAAATAAATACAAAACTTCATCTCACAAATATAGACAGATCTTGAACTCTTCTTCTATGCCGTGTCCCTTTAGGACATGGACGATCATGGCTCTCTGTAACTTCCTATCCTTTTTAGCTCTAGGTATGATTTGTTTTTTTTTTACCGCTTCTCTTATTTCCTGTTCTGCCATCCATTTACGCATGCTTCTTCAGTAGACTACTATTTTCCTCTACTTCTCATGCCTTCAATATGTCCTTTGAGTGACAAATTCTCCAACCCGTCTTTCCTTATTTTCTTATTATATATCTCAACCTTTTCTGCTTCTAAGTATAAATGTCCTTTTTGCTTCTCTTTTCCTTAAAACTTCCTACTTATTTGCTCAATCCATGACATTCTCAGCATCCTTCTGTAGAACCACATTTTTGTTACCTCAAGTCTCTTCTTCATCTATGAGGAGATTGTCCCGCATTTACTGCCATATAGGAGGACTGATATTACATAACAGTTCAGCACTCTTTTCTTTGTTTGGAAGGTACCTTTCATTATTCCAATGTGCCTTCAGATTTCCATGTCCATTTTCCATCCTCTGTTAAAACACTTCCCTTTTCATACTTGCTTGATTTTGGCATCTCTAATTTAGGGTTTGTATCTTGGGATGATCCTTTTGCTGAAATGCATACATTCTGTCTTCTTACAATTGATAGTTAGTCCTTCCTTCTCACTTTCCTTTATTACATTTACTACTCATGGCAACTTGCAACTTGAACACACCTGCACAAAAATGTTATTTGACAAAAGATCACAAAAACGACCTATGTTCTTTTGATGTCTTTACGAAAAATTGCATTCTCAATAAATTTATACCATATGCAAATAAGCCCCATTATAGTTTCTCACACCATTACACTGTGTATTCAATCCTCATTGGGAACTGTACACATCTGGTTTTGTCTCAATCTAAGCTAAGATTAGCAAATACAATATGTTTGGTTTGGTTTGGTTTGGTTTGGTTTATTTTACAGCATATCAACCTAAATGGGTTACTTAATGCCAGCAAGATTTTTATTTCTGGTAATATTTTTTTCAAAAACAGTATTGTTGGTAATAATTTTTTCTTCAAAAATTCATTGCTGGTAATAATTTCTTACAAAAATGTATTGCTGGTATTAAAACCTATTTTTACACTTTCACAGTGTTTTGACCCCAGTTTAGGGGTTAACTATTTGCCCATAGCTGGGACCCTAACAGGTGCTACCACTCCAGGTCAGAGTGGACCTGGGAACACCAGCAATTAAGAGGTGGTTCCACACTCATCAAAACCTCCTGATCAGAGGCCTTGCTGTTGGTTTCAGTTTATCATCTTACCCAGGACGCACAACATGTTTGTTTTAACAGAGTGATCAGTAAGCAAGTCAATCAAACGTTTACATTTGCAGCAAATTCAATCAAGATGATCAAAGCCTTGCAGTTGATCTCTTCTCGGAATGGGCTCTAACAGCTCAATGAGGAAAAAACTGGTTTGTAACTTTCAATATCTCAAAAACCAAGTGAGCATTGTTTCCTCATCACCAAACAGACTCTCAACAAGGCTACACGTTTTGAAAATATATTGAGTCTCAAGTTCATTGCAAATCTCAAATGGAACTTGTACATACAATCCATTGCCAAAGATGCTAGAAAAATAGTCAGCTCTTTCAAATGCTCCTTTTGACATGCTTTATCTTTATAAGAGTTAGATTAGACCAAAAAAATGGAGTATTGCTGTCATATCTGGGCTGGTGCTGCTCAGTCCAAACTTTCCAGTCTTAAAAAGAGTTCAAGGCCATTTACACAGTGTTACAACCTCTTTCTTACAGATGCAATGTTGCAAGATGATGCAATATTATTGGTACTGACCTGGCATCTTGGCTTCAGTCACTTTCCCACTGCCATAATGTCGCATCCCTGTGCCTTTTCTATAAATACTTTCATGGTAACTGTTTTGATGAACTTTCTACCATGATACCTAGAATTTATGAATTAAGCACAGTACTAGATTGGTGATGAGGTCTTTTCAATTTACAGTTGAATTGGCTAGATGCAACCATAAGTCCTATGCCAACAGTTTCTTTTCTCACACTTCTTGCTTGTAGAACTCTCTTCCAGGTTCATGTTTTCCAGTCAACTTTGGTCTTTAAAAATTTAAATGCAATGTTAATTGCTATCTACTATGTTTTTGATCCTTCTTCTTTTATTGTTCTCATTCCTTAATAATGTTTATCCTTTTCTTATTCTTTCACACTCAGTAACCTCTTACTTTACTGCCTTGCTTTGGATGAATTGATTAAAACAAAATGTTCACAATGTGTTCCACCAGTTCAGACCTTTACAGCTAGAGCTCACCATGTTACTTCCATTGAATCAAATCATGCTCATTTCCTCCATATTCCATTTGTAAAGAGGAAGTTACACTTAGCTTTTTTTCAAGATCAACCACTTTGTCAAACAAACTCCTGCATGGTTGCTTCTCTGAACAATTTAAACCTCTTCAAGTCATGGGTGAATATTTATCTATCGTTCTTTACTTCTTACCACACCCTCCTTCATTCATATCAC